ACTCGAGAACACCGACGTAATCGCCTTGAGTGGTGCAGACAACGGTCACTGTGGGATCAGGAATGGAACAGTATTGTCTTTAGTGACGAGTCTCGATTTTGTTTAGGCATGCACGATGGTCGTGCCAGGGTTAGAAGGCGACGTGGTGAAAGGAGGAATCTACAGTTTTTTGTTGAAAGACATGTTCATCACGCTGTTGGAGTTATGGTTTGGGGTGCTATAGCTTATGGTTCCAGGTTACCTTTAATCTTCATCAGAGGTAACATGAACGCCCAGCGTTATATCCACGAAGTTCTAGAACCCCATCTTTTACCCTGGCAGATCCAACTTTCCAACAAGATAATGCCCGACCACATGTTGCAAGAGTCACAATAGACTTCTTTCAACATAATGATGTCACATTGTTACCATGGCCACCAAGATCTCCCGACTTATCCCCAATTGAGCACGTGTGGGATATGATGGGTAGGAGATTGCTCAATTTGCAACGTCCTCCTCAGACTCTAGAAGCACTTCGAGAGGAGTTGGTGGTTGCCTGGAATGAGATACCACAGGAGGACATTGACCACCTGATCAGAAGCATGCCTAGGCGCGTTGGAGAATGGGTAGCACATCAGGGTGCATCAACACAAATCTTGAAGTGAGCCAACTGAAGTGGGAAGGGGCTCGTAGATATAAATATGGCGCATTTTGTAAAATTTTCAGTGAATGTAGGTATTAGATTCATAACTAAATGCAGGATCCAAAATTGTGTTCGATTACTAAAAATATCAATAGGGAGTCCCTAAGAAAAAAAAATTGAGGACGGGGATAGAAAGCAGAAACGTCTGATTGAGAATTTGACTACGTCCTCTGGTAGAGGAGAATTAGTCGCAATTAATTTTGAAATTCCATCTCAAATAAAACCATAAACATCGATTTTTCAATAAGTATGAGAAACATTTCAAGGACTACTTAAGATATTCTGCTTTTTCTTAAATAACCAATATGGCGACCGCAAGAAAAAATAAAGTTAACGCTTGAGGGCAAGAGAAGAAACGTCATATTTAAATTCTAATTGTACCATTTTGAAGAGGAGAAAGGTGGCAATGTTTATGTGCAATTCATTTTAAAATCCCACTACAAGTAAAGTCAGGCAAAACTTAAAACTAATTTGGGAAAATTCGGCTTTTATGTCTCACTCCAGAAGTACTATGAGTTTCAAAACTTTCTAAGCGCCGCTTGAAAGTTACCTAAATACGCAACTGTGCTCCCATTTAAGCCATTTCGCATCACTTACCGTTTCCGAGATACCAATGATGTGGATCGAATTTGAAACACCCGTTATAATTACTTATCTCGAAGTTTCTTGTTTTCTACCAAAACCACGGATTCAATCCATCTTAATTGAATGACTAATAAACTAGATTCCCATTTTCTCTGCTATAAACACCCCTCTGAACTTTTTAACATGGAATAGAAATAAAGTTTTTCGGTAATGTCTAAGAAAAGAGCTATTAAATAAATTTGTATTTTTCCAAATGGAACACCCTGTATATTTTTAGTCAAAATGACAGGCGGCTTTTTCTGGTTCTAAGCATATATGGCTTATAATGCTAATTTCCATTATTTTAAATAATATGCGTTATTTAATCATATGTCGTACACCAGATTGCATAGGCGGCTAGATGTAAACTGGCTAAAACTCGGATACACATACGACTCACAATGTTCAAGTTTAGCACCAAACTAATGAAAAAGGTTTAATAAACAATATATATTTAAAATGAGAAGAAATAAGCATAACCTACAACTTGTATATGACAAATTTTCTTCTAAATGGTCAAACAAAAAGTTATGGGTGGGTCAATTGATAGAGGGACACCCTGTAACTTTCAAAGTCGCTCATGCACATATCTTGTAAAACCAACATTTTTTGTTTCTTTAACAAAAGATAATTCGTTGTCTGGTAGTCAAATAAACACGCAACTCCTCGCACAACTAATGACTAATTATTCAAGAAACTTTATCCAGCATATGGTTTGGATGTTAAAAGGATGTTCATATAGAACGGGATGTTCGCTTTGCTCCGGTTACCCCTAATGGTATGAACAACAATTAACATTTGTTCTCATTACCACGTAATCTGGTTGCAGCTGTGCCAATTATCAAATTACACGAGTTTAATCGAAATCAATTAAGTACATGTATGGTGCCTCTGCTAGCTAGTCGATCTTCCGACTATGATCGGTTAATTTCTCGAAACGGAAATCGCAAAACAACGACTTGCACCATGGTGGATACAGCTGGGAAGTTTTTTATTCCCAGTTACTATTGTTATAATGATAATACGTAGTAATAATAGGTATTGTCCAACATTTACAGGACAATAACTAGAATAAAATAAATTGATAGTCTACGACAGAGTTTGAAGAGTCACCAATCAGTCGGACAGCCCTGCTCTAGACAGCAAGTATGAACAATGTAGGTGGGGTGGCAACACCCCAAGCGTCTGAGCAATACTCGAGGTAGGTTATCTGGGCCTTAGCCCTGAACAAACAGCCTAGCTTATTCCCAGCAGCTGCTGCCATTGACGAGATGTGTTCGTGCCAGATCAAGTCCTCGGTGATCTGGACTCCGAAATGAACGGCTCTTTGGCAGAACTCGGCCATCCATCGAAACCGGATGAGCTATAGGACGCTTTTTGTTCGTCAAAGTACAGTACTGTGTTTTGGAAGCATTAAACCGTACAAGATTGTTGCGTTTCTAAGCAGTGATAACCTCAAGGTCTCTCGACAAAGAGGAAGTCGTCGCTAGTCTTATGTTTTCCAGCGCACCGGCAGAGGTGGGCTTGTCGCTCTGTGTTCCTGTATGTAGAGTGCTGTCATCAGCAAAGCTGTGGATTGGATTTTCGTGCAGGAAAGGAGGTCGTTGATATGTAAAAGGAACAGTGTCGGAGTCACTGGGGAACATCCGCGCTAACGTTGTGGGATTTATTTATTTAATTACACCACCAACAGTTTATAAACCAATTACTGGTGGGAAATACAATACATATATATATATATATAACAAAAAGAAGGAAAATAATGGGCAAAATCCGCAAAAAGGAGGAAAGTGGATTCAAGCAGAAAATAGGATAGGTAACCCGAGCGATACGTATTTCTGCTGGTTGGCTTCATCAGGCCCGAAATGAATGCACATATGCAACTGCAAAAGTAGATACGCATGCTCATACATCCGGATACGGGTGTAACCTGAGGAAACAAAGATGGAGAGGGAGAAAAAAATCACACACGAAGTCCACAACAAGAGCCAACCTACACATTGTAGTACAAAATGGTTAGAAGACCTAGAATTTTCAAGGCGACATCTAACCACAACCACGCCTTGAAAATTCTAGGTCTTCTAACCATTTTGTACTACAATGTGTAGGTTGACTCTTGTTGTGGACTTCGTGTGTGATTTTTTTCTCCCTCTCCATCTTTGTTTCCTCAGGTTACACCCGTATCCGGATGTATGAGCATGCGTATCTACTTTTGCAGTTGCATATGTGCATTCATTTCGGGCCTGATGAAGCCAACCAGCAGAAATACGTATTGCTCGGGTTACCTATCCTATTTTCTGCATGAATCCACTTTCCTCCTTTTTGCGGATTTTACCCATTATTTTCCTTCTTTTTGTTATATACCTTTCTCTGCATGATCATTTTCTCTTTATATATATATATATATATACTAAGTGACATATAAATCCGAACACCCAGTTTAAATGGTTTTATTTTAATAAATGTTGGTGAATGTATTTATCTTACTGTAAATAACAAGTGAAAAAATTTTCAGCCTTATCAGTTGGACATTCCGGTTTTTATACTGCTTTTTTTTTAATTCACTAACGCTCTAAAAATGAATATTTCAGCCGCAGTAAAGGATCAACGTTGGCGGATTTTGGTTCTTGACATCCTTTACGATCGGTTACGATGCCTAGAGTACGGAGACTTGTACGATTTCGTCAACTTAGTGAGTTTGATAGGGGCCGTATAGTGGGACTTCGGGAAGCTGGACTTTCTTTTCGGGCAATTGCAGTTAGAGTGCAAAGAAGTGTAGACACTGTGGTTAGGTGTTGTCAGGCATGGCTTCGAGAAGGCCGTACGCAAAGAGCAAGGGGCACTGGACGCCGCCGTAGAACAACAGACCGTGAATATCGCCGCCTAAGATTATTGGCCTTAAGGGACCGTTTCTCCACTACCAGGTCCATTGCAAATGAATGGTTTGCAGAACACAGAAGACATATTGGCATGCGAAGTGTTTATCGATGAATTAGAAGTTTTGGCTTGTTTTCATACCGGCCACACTGGGTCCTCCCTGCTAAGATTTCTTCTTTTTGGTAGCTACAGACTTTCCACACTAATTACAAAGGTTAACGAAGCCAGTACAAGTTTCATGTAACCAACGCTTACAAAAAATACATTGTAACCAGTCATCTTGTTTACATGTTTGGCGATAGTCCTCCTCCTCATTTTCTAAATCACTGAAGTCTTCATCACCACTAGAACTGTCATCAATAGTAACATCATCTTCAGAGACTGACGATTCGCTCAGCTTTCTCTTATTTTTTGTTATTTTCACAGGTTTTGAGCTCTTCTTGATTTGTGCATCTTTCCTATTTTTAATAAATTCTTCAGATGTAATCTCACCGGATATTTTTTTGCGGACTCTTTTCACTGCTGCAGATAAAACAGGCACGGGCATTATTTCATCAAGAGCCTTTCCAGGAGTTATAACTTCATCAGGAATTGATGACTTGTTAGGGCTAACAGGTGAAGCTTTTGGATTTTGAATTCCGGAGGGGCCTGATTGAGGAGATTCTGATCTAACTGACAAATTGTTCATCTGCGATGTTTCTGTTTGAGGCATTTGGACGGGTGTCTCTGTCAAAAAAGCATATTCCGGGATAACTAATAGATTAAATGGATAAATTCCCGTGGATTTAAATGAAGAAGTCTCATTTTGCACAGTTGCTTAGTTTCCCCATGCTCGACCTAACAGCTTACCAAATTGAAGGGGATTTAGGACCCTGTTTGGGTTATTTTGCACCATAAAACGGCATTCAGCGTAGAAGTTGATTTTAAGAGTTTTAAAAAAGGCACCATCGAGAGGCTGTAGATAGTGCGTTGTATGGGCTGGTAAACAAAACAAAATTATTTCATTTATTTCTGGACATTCCCAAATCTCGCGCAATTGAGGTGTTTTCCGATTTCCTGATTGAAATTTCAGATCTTCGCTTTAAAAATAGTTCTAACCATTTTTGGCCAGCTTTACCTAAAAAAATCGATAATTAGTAACAACAATGTGTGTTTCATATTTTTAAAATTTACCTTCTTTTTGATTAAATTTATCTGGGATCCCCATTCGCTGAGCTAAATTAAACGCCATGATTTTTACTTCAGTTCTGGTGGGTTCAAAGCCTGCCTTTTGCAGTTTCTTGATGTGATTAACAATTTTAAGTTCGGCATTCGAGCCCAAAGAACAATCCGGGCCCAATCGATCATTCTTATCAGTGTTGTTTGCTTTTAACCGACGCTTGAAAGTTGTTTTTGGTATCCCAAATGCTTTGGCGGCTTCATTGATGCCCATAACGCCATTCTTCACAGCATCTACTGCATCACTTAAAGCCCTAGGGGACCAAGAACCCCTTTTTGGTGTGCTTTGTTTACGGATGTATTTATTGGGCATAATTCTAAAACAAAATATACCTGTTAACTCTCCTCCTTTTAAGTGGTCCATCTATCCTCAAATAGGAGGGTAGATGGACTAGTCCCTAGCATCTAAAATATGCAGATTAAAGCTTCAATTGGCACTGTATAGTATACCTTGTATATATATCTAAATAGTGAATCAACAAAAAATCGGATAAACTTACCTGATTTTTATAAAAAAAACAGGTTTTCAAAACTCTGATAAAATTTTAACACGTGGTAAATTCAATTATCGTAAATAACATTCGCGTAGGCGCGCGATGATGCCTTCTAGTAGCCGTCTCAGACACAACTGACGTTAGGAAACAACACAGAGTAGGTTAGTCTTGCCTTGTTACCAAACCTTGCCGCATATTTTCGGTGGACCGTCTAACCTCCTGGTCCATCTCTCCTCCTTTTACCCTACCCCACCCATTACAACCCCCCACCTCCTAATTTTTTCCCACTAAAATGCTTTCAAAAAAAACGCTTGAGCCATTTTTTTTTTTTCGTTTTACCCATTTTCTCCACCGTCAATGGTCCCATTTCCAAAACTTCCCTAGACTAAGAGAAAACGTAGAGTTGACAACGTCGTATCTCATTATGCTATAGAAAGATAAATACAGGGTGCAAACGTTATGATAGTCATTATTTAAATGGGTGTTAAAAGAAGAAAAAAGCTTCATATAACATGGAGGTCAAAACGGCGACTTTAAAGCAAAATAAAATCCGACAACGCCGCAATGCCAGACGCAAATTACGAGGGAACGCAATGTAAATAAAGATGGAGTTTGTTATTTTTTTCTCTTAGGTATTATTGAATTATTTGATAATGTACTCGTAAAATGCAAACAATTAAAAAAAACGACATACCACTAACTGTCTCAGCGCTTCACATGGTGTGTGAAAGTTTATTGAACGTATTAAAAAAATCCACTTATAAATACAATTTTGATACAAACATTGTTTTTCTTTTTAAAACCCACTCTGCACTTTTTTTGTACTTAAAGGAAGTCTTCAAAATGTCGTCCTACACTTTCCACACAAGCTTCAATACGACAAGCCCAGTTTCTTCTTACTCTAGGTCCTCGAGGTTGTCCATTTATTATTTCAGCCGTATTAATTTTTTTTTTCGTGAAGTTGTGCTTCAGTTGTTATTGGACCAGCCCCATAAACCATCCCTTTAAGTTCTCCACAATACCAGAAACCCATCGGATTGAGGTCAGGAGATGTTGCTGGCCATTTTCGAGGATCAGAAGCATTTCGACCAATCCAGCGATTTGGATAGTGTTCATTCAAATACTGAAAGACGCCTCTAAAAATGTGTGGTGGTGCCCCGTCATAAAGACACCACAAATCCTGTCTCCGTTGTAATGGCATGTTGTCTAAGGTCTGTTCCAAAAGTTCTGGTAGGTTATTGGCTACAAAGCTAAGGTATCCTTCTCCTGACAAGTTTGGGGGTAGCTCGAAAGGGCCAATTACCTGATCGTCAAGAATAGCCGCCCAAATATATATTTTAAAACGTTGTTGGAAATATCCTCCTCGAATGGTGTCGGCGAACTCTTGATTCGAGAACATTGTAAATAAACACGACGACGTACGCGAACAAAAACAAAACAACACGCCAGATGCTCTGCTCGACAAAACGGTAAAGTAATTTATCTATGCAAAACGATAACTAACCACTGTTACCGTTTGCGATCGATTGCCGGTTCGATAAGAGTGACGAAAGACCGACGCACTGCTGTCATGTGTATTTTAATATTTAATTTAATGAAACTTACTTACTGACTTACTTAATGCCATTTATTTGTTAATTACCCAATTTAAAAACGTTTTAGATTAGATTATAAAAATTAGTAAGGTTATGGTGGTTGTGGTCGATATAAAGCGCTTAAAGTTGTAAACTATAAAGCCATTTAGACAACAATCTATTAACTTTTGAACCATGGGTCATATGAACTTTTTGACTTGTGTGAACGTTTCCACCCTGTATTGTTGGTACTCTCTGGATGCCATTACGTGATACGACAATTTAAAGGTAGTTGTAACGGTTAGATATGTATAACTTATCGAAATAACGTAATTGTTTGGCGGAGAGGATTTTCGTGCAGAACAGTATTATCGGACAGACCAACAGATAGACCAACCATAATATACAGGGTGTCCCAGAAGTCGACGTCAAGCCGAAACCGGGTGATAGGCAAAGTCATAACAGCTATCAGAAAAATATTTAAAAAAATTTTATGTATGTGTTTTGAAAATTATAGGTCTTTGAAAAAAATATAGAAATTTCACACCCTACGGCAGTCTGTCAACTCCTGTTACTACAAATATTAACTTTTTTTGGATTTTATTTTTGCAATGTAATGATGAATAATGCATCTTCAAACTGGTGTCTCAACTTTACTGCCAACTTTTCTCGTTCAGGAAAAATTGCCACTTATTTCCCAACCAAGTATTCCAAAATAAAACTTTGCTCAACTTTAACTGGCTGTACTGGAAAAAATGTACTACGAGAGTTTGGCAAGTAACCTTAAAAGTTGGCGCATTTAATAAGGATTCCAAAATGGTATAATACTTAGAAGATTACTCGTTAACTTATGCACAATTTTTATTTGAAGAAAAACTGATGAAAATTTTTCAAAATTTCCTAATTAAATAGCGATTATGAAAACGCACAAGGACCCTTAAGGATAACTGTTTGCACAACAGTGAGCGTCAAAATGCTGCTGATGATGATTTACCTTTACAGCAAATGCTCAAACTGTTTTCCTTCAGCCGCAATACACGCTCGACATCTTAAAAAAGATCGGGTTATTAAACGAGCGAATCAACGGTTATTAACAAACTCAGCTGCTTCCAATAGTTTTTGCCGTAGCTCAGCTACATTTTGAATCGGCTTGAAATACACTTTTTCTTTTACAGTTCTCCAGTACAAAAAATCTAACGGATTCAAATCTGGTGACCGGGCTGGCCACGGTATTGTACCAGACCGCCCTATCCATCTGCCTCGAAAGTTTTGAGAGTGCATAGCATAGTGCGCTGGGCAGCCATCATGCTGAAACCACATGTCCCTGTAAATACTCAGTGGCACGTCCTCCAATAAATTTTCTAAATGATTTTGCAAAAGACCTAAATAAACCTCAGCAGTCAAAGTCTTTGGGAACTCAACGGACAGATTATTTTACCATTTAAAATTCCTGTCCAATGGTTTATCTTGAAGCGATATTGAGATTTATCTTTTCTCATCAAATGTGGGTTTGCTACGTGCCACTCGTGTAAGTTATGCAGGTTCATGTACCCATCTTTCTTAAATGTGGTGTCATCTGACCATACAATTTTTTCAAAGAACCGTGGATCTTCCCTGTGTCTTTCTAACATTGCGCGACAAAAAGCAACTCGGGGCTCATAATCCCGGGGCAGAAGAGCTTGAACACGCTGTACGTGGTATGGATGGAGCACGTTTTTTTGCAAGATTCTATGGGCTGTACTTTTGGGCACACCTGTTTTTAGTTCTATTGCACGCACTGAAGTACTCGGGTCTTCTTCGACAGCTCCTAGCACCACGTCTTCGTAAGGAAGAAAAGATCTTCCCTCACCGTGTAATTGGTTTGGTAGTTGGCCCTCTGAGAACAGTAAGCGGTGCACATTTGTGAACACTCGGTGATCTGGATGACGAGCTGCATTCGGGTACCTCTCACAGTAAAGTCTCGCTGCAGCACTAGCGTTGCATCTGCATTCCCCATAAATGAGGTGCATGTTAGCATATTCTTGTACGGTGTACACGGACATAGCGGCACTGCACAATCACACTATCAAAGATAGTCTAAGGAAAGCAAATGTTGTTTTGAAGAGCAATTAAACAGTCCAAATCCAAATCACAAGCGATCAACAGTCCAGTTCACGAATCCAAAATTAGTAACAGTACGAAATCAACAAGCACGAACATGTAAAGATGCGCAGTAAACGAAGGAGTACTGATCGGTATCAAAGTCTGCAATAGCAAGTAAGTGATGTGCTTCATCCATACCACATACAGCGTGTTCAAGCTCTCCTGCCCGGGATTATGAGCCCCGAGTTGCTTTCTGTCGCACAATGTTAGAAAGACACAGGAAAGATCCACAGTTCTTTGAAAACATTTTATGGTCGGATGAGACAACATTTAAGAAAGATGGGTACATGAACCTGCACAACTTACACGAGTGGCACGTAGCAAACCCACATTTGATGAGAGAAGATAAATCTCAATATCGCTTCAAGATAAACCATTGGACAGGAATTTTAAATGGTAAAATAATCGGTCCGTTTGAGTTCCCAGAGACTTTGACTGCTGAAGTTTATTTGGATTTTTTGAAAAATCATGTACAAAATTTATTGGTGGACGTGCCACTGAGTATTTACAGGGACTTGTGGTTTCAGCATGATGGCTGCCCAGCGCACTATGCACTCTCAGTGAGAGAGTATCTCGATCAAAACTTTCCAGGCAGATGGATAAGGCGGTCTGGTACAATACCGTGGCCAGCCCGATCACCTGATTTGAATCCTTTAGATTTTTTTACTGGGGAACTGTAAAAGAAAAAGTGTATTTCAAGCCGATTCAAAATATAGCTGAGCTACGGCAAAGACTATTGGAAGCAGCTGAGTTTGTTAATAACCGTGGATTCGCTCGTTTAATAACCCGATCTTTTTTAAGATGTCGAGCGTGTATTGCGGCTGAAGGAAAACAGTTTGAGCATTTGCTATAAAGGTAAATCATCATCAGCAGCATTTT